TCGGAACCGTCCCTACCCATTATTGGACTCCCCGGTGCACGGCCGCACGGCCCAGAAAGACTCGCATCGTTGGTGAAAGACTCGCCCCCCAAATTGCGTGGTCTTAAAAGAGCAAGAACGATGCATGAAGGACCACGCAGTTTGCCATTTTCACATTGCAGTTTGCCGATGTTCATTTCCATGCCTTCGGGTGACTGGATGTGGGGGGTCGGTGAGTCCGCATCTGATGGGCATTGTTGTTTCGTCCATGGAAAGCACTTCTCAGTCCCAAGTGGATGAGTGCTTTGGAAAGCAGAAGCGGCCGAAAATAGGCTGCCACTCGAACCTCTTGGATCGGGGGAACCGAAGGAATCTCTCCACCGAAGAGATCTTTCTGTGGAGAAATACGTTGCATGCATCTTCTTTCGCGATTCTGGATGGAATTACGATAGCTCTTTGGTTACCAGTTCCAAAGCTCAAAGTAAAGAGCTGTCCCAAAAATTGGTCAGACACGGATCGTTGAAGATTTGGCCGCACCGTACCCCCCAGCTCGGTCCATCTAAGAGTCTGTGGGCGGTCACCACGGAGCTGCCGATAGTACTCCTCCGTGAGCTTCTCCTGGCCGTGATCCCGAAGCTGAACAAGGGGGCTGAAAAAGAGCAGGAAGATGTAGAGAATAACATGTCTGGAAGCAGCTAATGATGCAAGAAGTAAAACATATGCATTTGGCTGTCTGAAAACGGACACCTGTATAAACATGAACAGTAAAAAACAAAAACGTGACCCTGCCTGCTTTTTCTTCTGGACCTCATGAGTCTTGTAAAGCTTCTCAATTTTCTCCAAGGTTTTGGCCTCAGGAGTGAGTATGAACTGGGCCTTGAGACACTTGGAATCTCTTCAGGGGCCATGGAAATGTATGTGTTTGGTTTGGAGCAAACCAAACACACTAACCAAAAGCCCCGCCATCTGCAAAAAGGCATCCTACTCTATGGGTCTGGCTATGAGGTGTATAATTGCCCATTTTCTGTTGTTCCTTTTTCCTGGGAGCGAACTGAAAAAGGACGAAGCTCACCTCTTTTGATGTCCAAAAACCAAAGAACAAGTCTCTCTCAAGATCCGTTTGTTGCGCCAAGCGTCATCGCTTTTGCAGGGCGTATTGTAGGCTGGGCTGCCGGGTGGGCGATAGAGGCCCTCCTTCTCATGCATCGCCTGTGGCACAAAGGCCTAGTCACTCGCTGCGGGTGTTTCCTTTTGTTGTTTTCGATATTCCTTGTGGAGATGGCCAAGTGGCACTTGGAACCAATATTATGCATGAATGTGGAAGCAAGAGCTCGCCCAAATACCTAAGGTTCAATGTCCTGTGTCTTGGGCGCTTAAGACCTTGGGCGCAGGACTTCGTCAAGAATGGTGCTCGGTTGCAATGGAAAACCAGTAGCAAAGTGAAAGGATCGACTTTCAGGTGGCTCCAGCCCGCTGGATTCTGACTCATGGAGTGACGATGCGAAGCACCAGCGAAACGCGCTGTTTGAGGATCTGGAGGACTTTCAGGAAAAGCATCTTGAGTATACCGATACAGTACCAGTATGGATGTAAAGTCTATCTGTTCTTAAGGACATCAAGAAGATTGAAGAAGGATATCCCTGCGATCCGGCGGTTTGTCGGGTCTGACGAGTCTTCGTCAGATTTCTCGTGGGGCCAAAGGGGTCCTCGACTGACACAGAACGAGAACGGTCTTTGGTGATATGAAAAAGACCCCGACCACTACCCCCACCATAATACATGCCTAACAGGGTCTGACAGCAATCTTGGGATGGGGGCATCTATTTGCCATGGCTGAATCCAGGGAAAACCAACCGACCAACCAACCAACCAACCCCTCAACCCCTTGCTTTTTGGCTCAAAGTTCGAGATACACCTCAAACGTCTTACCCTACAAACGACGACCTTGCATTCGCCGGCTCTCCTTCTTTCGCTTGTGGTAGTTGATCGCCTCAGCAGTTCCGCGAAAGGGCTTAAGCGGGGTAAGCCTTTGGATTCAACAAATATCAATATTTTAATATATATATATATATGATATGTATATTTGGTCGGCTACACCAGCGACCCGAAGCAGATGGCTGCAAAAACCCAAAACGCCCACAAGCAATGGACTGCAATAGACCATGTGCTATGTGGATCTATGTGGGCTGAAAAGAACTCCGAGATTGTGCAATTGCTGCCAAAGTCTGTTGACATCCAGGAACATCTAGAGTAATCGACTAAGTCACTCTATGGTTGAGGATCACGACTGGAGGCAGTTGTGAAACCAATGACTCCCTGCCTCTTGATGGAGCCTCTCATACAAGTCCTTGGCGTCCTGCAACCGGAGTCCAAGGGATATCCGCTGAAGCACGTCGGAGCAAGTCTTCAGCAACAGCATGTTGCCAGTGTGGTTCATTCGGCTGAAAAAGATTGGTTGAAGATGGCATCCAGTGTTGGAGACCCGGTCCCCTGCCAACAAACCGAAAAAGTAACTAGAGACCAAACTCGGGCTGCCAACACTTCCCAAATCTCGGATCATCTCGGGTGAATTACCAAACACAAAAGTTTCGCAGATTTTCATGTGATCTAGAAACACAGATCTACTCTACTGTAAGCCTTCCTGAAGACCTTCAACTTGGCTTTAAATCCTAAAGATCCAATCCCTGAAGGCCATTCTCAGTCAGGCCAAATCTTTTCACGTGACTTTTTCGCACTGATCCTTGCTTCCATCCGTGTGGTTCCCAGATTGTGTCAAAGTACCACATCAACTTTGTCTGTGGTTTTAGTCCTCTGGCAATCCCATTTCATTGCCTTCAACGGGAAAATGGCGGACACTGCGTCACTTGACTTGCTTATGCAGTATCAGATTGATTTGTATCTAGTAATGCCTAATGCCATTCGTTCCTTGCGGAGCTAGAACACAACGTGGCATGCACTGGTGGTGCGGTTCACTGCCCTGCACTCAAATCCGCAATCGTGGTCAACGGGGTCGTCCTGCAGATCGAGGCCAACAACTGTCCATCAGGTAGGATTACCCGAAGATTTGGAAGGCTAACCCGCAAGTCACTGGCAATGCGCTTGTGAGTCTCCCAGGCCAGGTCAGACGCTTCTCCTTTCAATCGCAATACCTCATGCCCGGCCAAATCCCAGCATGTCAGGACCGCTCCATCATCTTCAAAGGCAACGCCTGCTTGCAGAACGTAGTCTTCACCAGGATCAAACAGGTAGAAAGAGTAGGTGGTTCGAGGTGGAATGTCGCATTGACCACAATTGTTCATTCCGCAAGCAACAGCACTCCCATCACTTCGCAGAAGCACTGAATGATCATATCCTGCAGAAACCTGCGTGTAGCACATTCCTTCCTCCAAAGGTGGAATGTCGCATTGTCCATCATCGTTTAATCCACAAGCAACAGCACTCCCATCACTTCGCAGAAGCACTGAATGAAACTCTCCTGCACTAACTTGTGTGTAGCACATTCCCTCCTTCAAGGGTGGAATGTCGCACCGTCCATCATCATTCCATCCGCAAGCAACCGCACTCCCATCACTTCGCAGAAGCACTGAATGAGCCACTCCTGCAGAAACTTGGGTGTAGCACGTTCCCTCCTCCAAAGGTGGAATGTTGCATCGTCCATATTGGTTCCCTCCGCAAGCAACAGCACTTCCATCACTTCGCAGAAGGACTAAGTGTTCTCCTCCTGCGGAAACTTGGGTGTAGCACATTCCCTCCTCCAAAGGTGGAATGTCGCATTGACCATAATTGTTCATTCCGCAAGCAACAGCACTCCCATCAGTTCGCAGGAGCACTGAATGGTCTCCTCCTGCAGAAACTTGGGTGTAGCACACTCCCTCCTCCAAAGGTGGAATGTCACATTGTCCATCATCGTTGGCTCCACAAGCAACAGCACTCCCATCACTTCGCAGAAGCACTGAATGACGACCTCTTGCAGAAACTTGGGTGTAGCACATTCCCTCCTCCAAAGGTGGAATGTTGCATTGTCCATAACGGTTCGACCCACAAGCCACAGCACTCCGATCACTTGTCAGAAGCACAGAATGTTCACCCCCTGCAGAACACATTGTCACAGATTCCAGAACAATTTCAGTAGACTTTGCATCTTGGGCCAAAGCCTTTCGTTCCACATCCAACCTGATGCACATCTATCTGACCTCTCTGCAGCTGCACCTATGATGTGGTCTTGCTCGGGTTCAAATCATGCTAGGCTGGGGACCTTGGGGACATGGATGAACTTGCTTTGAAGGGCTTTGGCTCCCGAATATTTGTCAAGATCCAGATCTATAAAATTAAGTTCCAAAAATGCAAACAAAAGCTCAGTACTGCAGATTCTTTGCAACATAAAAGCAAATGAAAGCAACATGAAAGCAGAGTGAAAGCAATTGAAAAACCGAAAAACAACACAAAGTGAAGGAACATTAAACAAAAACGTCCAACTTCCAAAACCATGTTACCAATTAAAGCCCCTTATGAAAGGCTTCGCTTCAACGGGCTTGCATAGGGTACCCCTTACAAGTGCCAAGGATCCACAATAGGGAGGAGGTCCACAATTCTAAACCCTCTCCTACTGTGGCCCCTGTGTTGCTTTGGAACCGTTCCTTAACTTTACATGTGTCTTTTAAACTTTGTCTTGCACAATTAAAGCAACATGAAAGCAAATGAAAGCAGAATGAAGGCAAATCAAAGCAGAATGAAAGCAAATCAAAGCGGAATGAATGCAGAATGAAAGCAAAATGAAAAGTGAGAGGAAATGAAATGAACTCCAGAGGAGACTATTATTACGGACCCCTGCCAAACCCTCTTTAAAAAAGGAAATTGGAGAGGTTGACCCCCCCTTACTAATACGGATCTCACATTACTCATGTTTCTCAAAAAGGTCTTGAGCGCTGCTCTTTTTCCCTGAAGACAAACACAGACCGTGACGTTTACCTCTACAATCCAGTGGTTTTCAGGATCCATGTTAATCCTTTTAAAGGGAGTCAATGGCGTTTGCATTTGAAAAGAAAACACCTAACAAACTTATACAAAGAACACTGAAGCCCATTCTCAGTAAGGCCACCCAAAGTCGTTTCACGTTCATTGATATTTCTGACAGAATTGTTGTTTTTTTCTTTTTCGCACTGATCCCACTGATCCTTGCTTCCATCCGTGTGGTTCCCAGATTGTGTCAAAGTACCACATCAACTTTGTTTGTGGTTTTAGTCCTCTGGCAATCCCATTTCATTGCCTTCAACGGGAAAATGGCGGACACCGCGTCACTCGACTTGCTTATGCAGTATCAGATTGATTTGTATCCAGTAATGCCTAATGCCATGCGTTCCTTGCGGAGCTAGAACACAACGTGGCATGCACTGGTGGTGCGGTTCACTGCCCTGCACTCAAATCCGCAATCGTGGTCAACGGGGTCGTCCTGCAGATCGAGGCCAACAACTGTTCATCAGGTAGGATTACCCGAAGATTTGGAAGGCTAACCCGCAAGTCACTGGCAATGCGCTTGTGAGTCTCCCAGGCCAGGTCAGACGCTTCTCCTCTCAATCGCAATACCTCATGCCCGGCCAAATCCCAACATGTCAGCACAACTGCATCATCTTCAAAGGCAACACCTGTTTGCAGAACGTAGTTTTTGCCAGGATCAAAAAGGTAGAAGGAAGGTGGAATATTGCATTGTCCACCGTTGTTCATTCCGCAAGCAACAGCACTCCCATCACTTCGCAGAAGCACTGAATGATCATATCCTGCAGATACTTGCGTGTAGCACATTCCCTCCTCCAAAGGTGGAAAGTTGCATTGTCCATCATAATTCCATCCGCAAGCAACAGCACTCCCATCACTTCGTAGAAGCACTGAATGAGCCTCTCCTGCAGAAACTTGCGTGTAGAAAAGTCCTTCCTCCAAAGCTGGGATGTTGCACTGTCCACGATTGTTCCCTCCACAAGCAACAGCACTCCCATCACTTCGCAGAAGCACTGAATGAGCCTCTCCTGCAGAAACTTGCGTGTAGAACATTCCTTCCTCCAAAGCTGGAATGTTGCATTGTCTACGATCGTTCCCTCCGCAAGCAACAGCACTTCCATCACTTCGCAGAAGCACTGAATGACGACCTCTTGTAGAAACTTGGGTGTAGCATATTCCCTCCTCCAAAGGTGGAATGTTGCATTGTCCATAACGGTTCGACCCGCAAGCCACAGCCCTCCCATCACTTCGCAGAAGCAAAGAATGCAGATATCCTGCAGAAACTTGCTTGTAGCACATTCCTTCCTCCAAAGGCGGAATGTCGCATTGACCATGATCGTTCCCTCCGCAAGCAACAGCACTCCCATCACTTCGCAGAAGCACTGAATGACGACCTCTTGCAGAAACTTGGGTGTAGCACATTGCCTCCTCCAAAGGTGGAATGTTGCATTGTCCATATTGGTTCAACCCACAAGCCACAGCACTTCCATTACTTCTCAGAAGCACAGAATGTTCACCTCCTGCAGAACACATTGTCACAGATTCCAGAACAATTTCAGTAGACTTTGCATCTTGGGCCAAAGGCTTTCTTTCCACATCCGACCTGCTCATCCAGAAGGAGGACCCGAAAAAAGGACCCAAAAGATTCACATCTGACCTCTCTGGAGCTGCACCTATGAGGTGGACTTGCTCGGGTTCAAATCGTGCTGGGTTGGGGACGTTGGGGACATGGATTTTCTTGCTAGTACACCCTGCAACACCAGCCGTGTAGCATATCATATTGAACATTTCTGGGAGCCTTCCTTGCTCATCGCCATTATCACATCCAAGCAAAGGCTAACCACAAGGCCCTGGACTATCCTAGCTCCCTGTAGTATCCAGTATTCATGTTTCTCCAAGTGGTTTTGGGCGCCTAGCGACTTCCCTGAAGACAAATATGTACGCTGACCTTTACCTCTACGATCCAGTGGTTTGGATCCATGTTCATCTTTTAAAGGGAGTCAATGGCGTTTGCCCTTGACCGCCCATGTTTCGGTCCCTCCCGCAGCAACTGGGCAAACGCGCCGCACCGCGCCTCCCGCAGAGGCGCACTGGGCGTTCGCTGTCGGGCGCTGCCAGGGGTCCTGCTGCATCGGTCGTGGACACCATCGGTCAGAGTTCTAATAGATATCTCAATACTTGTGACAGGGTCGACAGGTGTATTCCCTAGTGACAGGCTCTTGTTTGTTTTCCATCGCACCCTCTCTTTCTCCCAAGTTTTTTGCAGTCACTTACCAGACCAGGGCTTTACCACTTGACCAGCTATCAACAGCTTTTGGGCCAACAGCTTTCGGCGATGCGGTGCATCCAACCCGTTCCATGCACCGTTTCTTCCCACCGGATCGGTTCTTGGCGGCCTAGGAGGTTTGATGTTGGGTTGGAAGCCTAGTAACGTCTAGAACCTACAGTCAACTGCACCTCACTGATTCTATGGTAATTATTAGATATTATATACGCATATTACATCATATTACAGAAACACCCCATCCCAACATCACATCAAATATCATCAAATGAAAACACCATAACAGGCATCATATGACTTATGACTTCATGCCAAATCAACAGTCGATGTGTTCCCCTTTTTCTGCTCAATAAGCTACTCAAGTGCATCGCTACTAGTAACAAGTGCATCGTTACTAATAACAAGTGCATCGCTACTAGTAACAAGTGCCTTACTACTAGGAACAAGAAGCCATTAGAAACAATATATAAGCACTGTTCACTCCAGTCGCCACACATCGACTGTCCTCGTCTCGCTCGTCTCAAGCACGACCGAAGCCGGACTCGCGGAAGCCGCGACGACACATGGGACGCCTGGCAATGGAGCGCTCAGAACGCGGGTGCCGGTTCCAGTCGACCATCGCTATTATAGGGTGGAGGCCATTGCTACTAGGGCATATAAGGGCATCGCTCCTAGGAGCAAGGACGCTACCAGTAGCTCCTGGCCTTACTACTAGGAATTAACAAGAAGCTACTAGGTTGGAGGCCATCGCTCCTAGGTTCCAGTTCCGGTCGGCCGCGAAGGGCGACGAGACACGTCTCAACCCTTGGGACCGGCTCGAGCTGGCCTGGGGTGGACGGATGTGAAGGGGTGTGAACAGATGTGAACGGCGTTCACCAGCAGTTTGGGAGGTTTGGACTCAGGGAATCTGCTTCTTTTCTGGCATGGGAGGAGGTTCTTTCTTACAAACGAAATGGACGCAGTCTTCAGATGAACATCGCTGGAACAAATCGCTCTGAAACCTCGGTCTGGGTCAATTCTTACCTCGGTCTCGGTCTCTCTGTATTTGGAGATGGCCCAAGTTACAACCCATGATTGTACAAGGGCAGATTGATGTATCCATTCTATGGATACATCATCTCTTCTTCCAGTCCAGTCATCCAAAGTATGGCGTGGGTCCCTCACAGGCCTTATATATGTTGTTCTCCTCTCTTCGGATGACAATACTGTTGACTCTTGATGAATCAAGAAGCCCCCAGGACTGGAGATGCACAAACCTTTTTGGAGACGGTTTGACCACCACGGTCATCGGGGGGGTGATTTTTCGCCAAATTTGGAGATGTGCAAAGCCCGAATTGTTACACATCATGAACAGACTCATGAACAGTCAACACTGTAAAACACGTGAACATGTTGTTGATTCGGGCTTTACAGTGAACATGTGTGATTCATGAACACTCAAACATGAACCTCCTCTCATCATGACGGTCCACCCTCTCGCACCTGGCACTGTACCTGGAAGGTCCACCCTCGGCGCCGTGGCGGTTGGCGGACATGAGAAAGGAGACACCCAGGAAAGAACACACTGATAAGTTGAAAACGAAACCACTTGCTCTATTCAAATTCTTCTCTAACCCAAAGCATCTTGGCTCCTTTTTGACAGACCTTTTACCCAATGATACCTCACAACATGAAGAAAAATCCCAACCACGGGTCAATCTTGCGGAGCCGGGCAGCGGCGCTAAGGTGCAGTGACGTCTAGGCGCGGCCAGGAGACGTCTCTGCGCCAGGTGCCACTCGGTCGCCAGGACGCGGCAGGTGGTCAATCATGTGGGAAAGCCACTCAAACTCCTGGAGGCCCGGCGCGCCAAACGGAAAAATGCGCGCGGGGCGTAAAGCACACACTCCCCCCCGCTGGCGCGTGGAGTGGCCGGTGGAATCTCACAAGTAGGCTCCTCCAACGCGGAGAACAAAAGCATATTTTGGATTGCTGAACATGGGCTTGAGCCTAATGTCAAAAATGGTTTGTTGGGGAATGATGGATTGAGGTTGACAGGGGTTCATCTAGGTGCGTCAGATGATTTCAGAAGAGAAATGGAAAGACTCTGCCAGATCCTGTGGATGCTTTTCCCTTGGTCACTGTGGTCTTTCTGTTTGACAAGAAATTATCTCACTGTATTTACGATGATGAGGAGACAGGTTGAGAAATGTGGGTAATAGAAGGGTGCTGAGCTGAGCCCAAAGAAAAATCCCCAACAGCTGAGCTTGAATCCGCCCCATCAGGCAATGGGAACAAGGCAAGTTCAGCGACAAGCGCTCTTTCTTTGCCAGACAATGCTGAACTGAACATGTCCATGGATTGGTTGAAACCTGCCCTCCAAACAAACATGGAGTTCAAAAAAGGGAAGACCGTAGGAGACCTTAAGAAACTCCATCGATGACCGATGTGAACTCTAAACAGGTGTGTCTTTGCAAAAGGACAGTGCCACCAAAAAAGAATAATCACATAGAAAAAAAAGATACCCAACCTGCTCCAATCTGCTCCGAAGTCTTTACTAAGTCTGAAGACCCCCTAGTTCCTTGATGTTCCAGCTGTTCATATTCTGTGTCGTTTCTTTGCATCTTCTGTTCATACAGAGTCTAATGTCGCAAGAGTATAATGAGTAAAACCAGCCAAACCTGGCCATAATATCAAATGAGTATAATACAAACCCATGTGATGTCCTGCATCACCCTTTACAGTATATTAAAAAGAACTCATCAGGGACATGACAGAATTCTTTGTGACCATTCTGAGGGATTTTTGTGTTTTTTTTGACAACTCGAGAAACTCGTCCTTCATGGTGACTGCCGGGCGCGCCATCGTCGCGTTGCAACAGATCCTGATGGGTAGACAGGATCTTGGCACACGCCACTGCGGTCGTCCACATCGGTTCTTTTGGGTCCTTTTGGGGCAGAAGTCTGGTAGTTAACACTAACACTAGACTTGGAGAGATAAGCTGAGATTCCAGATTCCAAGAAAAACAAGTTTCAACGAAGTCTGTGAGAAGTCAGGAAACATCTGTCGTGTAAACTAAAGACCGTATGAACAAAAAAAATGCGAATTGCAAACGTGTACAGTACTTGCTATATCTTGTTGTACATATTTTTGCGCTCGAACAACCTCAAACAATCTCTCACTATTGTCTCTACGTCGTCTATCCAAGCGTGCGAGGGTGCAAGAAACCTCGAACCTGGTGCACCACTAACTGAGAAGAAGCTCCAGTGTTCCGCACCCCGCAAAGCGCTTGCCCCGAAACAAAAGACCGTGAAAACTTAGGCGAGCGTGCACAGCAACCATGGCAACATATTGGGTAAACGGGGAAAGTGTTTGCCCAGACAGCAACCTGCTGAGGGCTAGAAAACGATGCGCATTACAGTGTTGTTTTGCCTTTCGGGCCCGTAACGTCCTTCGCATCATGCACGTAGGGCATCAGCTCATCAGCGCAGCATCCGCATCATGTCTGCAACGCGTCAGCGCATCATCTGCATAATGTTTCTAACGCGTCAGGGCATCATCCGCATAATGTGTGTGTAACGCATCGGAGCATCATCCGCAACATAATATTCATCATCATCATAATATAAAATTACAAAATTAATAATAATAACAATAATCATCATCATCATCACCATCATCAGCGAAGTGGATCATCTGCATCCCACCAGAACCATGTTGGGTCATCGGAGAGGTTGCCTTCCCGGGCAAACCCCCCCGTTGATCCAACGCAACCCATCACTACCATGCTTTCGAGCATGTCGAACCCACGACGTCGCCGGGTCATGTTCGAGGGCGTAAAACTTCTGTTCTTGGCTAGTAGCTGTGAGGTTCTTTGGATGTCAAGAGAAGGGGGCTTTCTAGGTGATTTTGGAGGCAAAGCTGACGAAAACCCGCAGAACTTCTGAATGACAAGCATCATGCGGAAGATGTTGTCGACTTCAGACTGGTTCAGAATCCCCTGCTCCATCATCAGAGACCGGAATTCCTGGAAGCCGAACACCGTCTCGCTGGTTTGGCCAGGCTCAAGCGGCTCAAGAGCTGTGCATGGCACAGAAGGGTCGGCACTTTTTGGATTTGGGGATTCCCCTCAGCTCTGATGGGTGCTGGCTTGTCGCCCTCTACGTTCATCATCTTTCAACCTGGGTAGGAAAATGACTCTCCTTTAGCTAGGCTGACAGCTTGTTTAACCAAGGTCTTGAAACATGACGTTGTGGCACAGAAGAAACGCCCAGCAGCGTCGTGCTTTAAAGGAATGCCAAACAAACAGGATTGTGTGATTTGAGTGTCCGTGACAATTAATAATATATATATATAATACATATATATATATATAGGTAGCATTACATTAAGTAGCTCTGGTTACAGAACCAGACCATGTTCCAATTGTACTGGGCATGTTCCACATTCTATCTGCTTCAGGCATTCCATGTTCAGCCCTTGACATCGGACTTCAACCCCCCCGTTGACATCGGACTGAAAGTGCCTCACGGCGCAAGCGTCGGCCTCCTTTGCCTGAAAGATAGGACATGTCATCATGAGGGCTTCTGAAAGGTCCAACGCTCAACGTTTTCTGGAGGAAAAACTAGCTTCTTGTTACTACAGGTGAAACGATTCCCAAGGAAGCTTCTAGCTACTACGAGTAGCAGCTTCTTGCTCGGTGAAGATTTCAAGTATCAAAATTGGGGGGGCGTCGAACATCGTCGGACAGTGTTTTCACATTGTTTTTCAACAATGTGCTCACCCTGTTTCCATGCACAGTCCTTGCCACTATCTGGACGAGTCCTACATTTTGTGGACCCTCCTTGCCATCGCTGGGTCTTTCTCACTCGTCAGAAACCCCGGTCAGAACCTGAACGATCGGTCCATGAGTGGCATTGAACTGGTTACCAAATGAAGTATTTTCTGTTGTATTTTGTTTCTTCATGTTTCTTATACTGTTTGTGCCAAGCTTCTGGCACATGAAAGGTAGCTTTTAGCTGAGTAGACAAGTCTAGGTTCCGCAGAGCTTTCGCCAGAGTTCGCAAACTACTTAGGCAGTTCTGGACTTTGATAGAAAAGATGCCTTCTTCTGGACCTTTGGTGGAACGAAACTCTTGACATGCGGTGGGTGCCCTATCCGCACTCACCTTGGTCATGTGCTAATATGTTTATTCGTCTTTGGGATTCTTCGGAGAACCTTTGAAGCATCAAACCCCGTCGCTGGCTGCTGGATGTCGCTGGCGAATCGCAAATGGTTGGGATGAACTCCCGAATACTTGGGTCGGTCGTCGACCGTATGTCGCTCTATGCACCGATCAAACATGTGACCTCTCCAAGACCAAAAAGCCTGGCAAGTTCAAAAAGGAGAATACTATTCAGTCACTGGTGAAGCACATAGTAGAAGCAGACTGCGGCATGTTCAAAGCATGCCCAATGTGGTTGGCCACGTGATCCGGCGTTTTTGCCTAACACCACTTAGCCGTTGATGGCCTTTGTTAGATTCGTAACCCATGTGTGCTCGGCTCTATGGCTCTATCTCTTGAAAAACATCTGTCAATTAAGGGCAAGCGTGAGGTTTGCGGTTTCCTGTCATAGCAAAGCAATCGTAGAAAGTTGCGAACGCAGATGCTCACAGGGTGGATTCGTTTGGAGCACAGAATCGATGTTCCTCGGTGACCGCCTCCATCCTGCTACACCCGGTTGTTTGTGTTTTACATCCCAATGCCTCAATTGCAGAATGAAGAGAGCCATGACGTCACCACATCCTTTCGTCACATGTTAAAGACAATTCGGAAAAACACCAATGACGTCGTCCCTGGGCAAAGACAGAAACATGTGAACCGCCTCGCCTCCAATTGACCGCCACCGCGCTCGGTGTAGCGCGGTCTCCGCGCGTTTTGGTGGGACGACAGCACCGCCCGGTTCGATGTTTGACCGTCCAAGGCACCCAGTTGCTTGCCTGCAACAGGTGGACGTCAAGGACCCCCAAGGACCCCCAAGGACCCCAAGGGCCTCAAGGGCTGCAGATGTTGAAGACATCCACGATTTTGGGGTGCTAATCGGTCAGCTGAAAATTAGTGGTAAGCGGTGGTAAGTGATGGCAAGTGTAAGAACCGGGAATTTACTGAGAACATCTGAGAACCAGTAGGGAGGAAGAGGAACGGTACAATCCTTTCAATCCGGGCACAAACTCTCGCAAACTCGGTATACAGTCAGACTCTTTTGGGGAACACAGGACAAGCTATATCATTTCCATCTATATACGTATCCCGAAATCAAAAGGTCCTCAGCATTTTCCTTCCGTCCTCTCAAAGATTCTGGTATGAGAAGATCACATCATCCAAGCTCAGGTCACATATGGTCACACCCTCCCACGACACGCTTTTGCCACCAACCCGCCTCTTTTCGCTGTTCATGATTTCTTCACCCGAACCAAAAATCCGACTCTCCAAAAGTCCATCGACTCCCGAAAAGGTCCATCGATGTGTGGCCTGCTTGCCCGATGCTGCCGAAGCTCTTCTCCAAGGCGGCCGCGAAGCGGCTCAAGGCCTCCGCGCGGTCCGGCGCCCGCGCGGTCCGGTGCTGCTCGGTCCGGTGCAGGGCGAGGTCCGGTGCCGCTTGAGGATGGGTGAAGATGGGTGAACTGGGGAGGGTGGTGTGGCGGTGATAGGGGCAAAAAGTCGACATGTTGGAGGAGGAGGAGGAGGAAGACGAAGAAGAAGAAGAAGAAGAGGAGGTGATGAAGTCCAGAACTCTATAATATTCTATAAGCAGTTGTCCATGAAATAGATATTTTTCGCCTCCAGGAAGGTCTATATAGATGGACAACCATTGAAGAGCCAGGGATTTGAGGTAGGTGGGGCACTCTGGCAACACTCCACATGGCCCAAGTGAAACAGCTCTCCTCAGCAGTGGCCCAGTCAATCTCACAAAGCGTGACCTGCCAGAAGCCGATGTTCGACAGGACCGAAGACCTGTGGTACGAGGACACTCGTGATTGGTGGGTGACCACGCCTTTCTCATCTACCAAAGGCATATTTGGCCATAGTCTGCCAAAACGAACTGTCAAGTAGAGGACATGATTCAGCAAGGGCCTGTCGCTTGGAGGGGGGCGTGTCGCTTTTACAGGTTTTAGCGACCGCTCTGTACTTAATTAGTCATTGCACGTGCGATGGCGGTTGCTCATATATTGCCCAATGATCATGAAATGGGGCAGTATGCTACTATGGTATTGACTCGTTTGGCGCAACTCAGTGCAAAGAATACCTTGGCCCGAATGTGAAGAAGCGGTTCTTTTGGAGCAATCAAAGATGTTTTTGTAGTCTGGTGTTGAATTTCGGGGGATGGCTTGGCAGCCTTCTCTCTCCGTTCCTGCACTTGAAACACGATCGTAGTTCAAGTTAGGGTTGTTGGGCGCAAATCTGCTCCAATAATCTGCCTTGTTTTCAGCCAGACTGATTTCGTCCGCGACAGGATGCCATCACTGCGGATGCCATCACATCCGCATGGGTGTCAAATACTCCCAATCATTCCCAATCCAAAGGTGGAAGGTTGCATCGTCCATTCAATTCGCAAGCAACCACACGGCAAAGTAAGTGAGCGGACACGGCGAAAATTGACCTGTGCCGTGTCACTTTTGTTCCTGACGGAGCTAGAACACAATGGGACAGACCTCACTCGCTCAGATCTGCAATGGTGGCCAATGGACTTGCCCTGCAGATCGAGGCCAACAACTGTCCATCAGGCAAGACCAGACGAAGATTTTGAAGGCTAACCTGCAAGTCACTGGCAATGCGCTTGTGAGTCTCCCAGGCCAGGTCAGACGCTTTTACTCTCAATTGCAATACCTCATGTCCGGCCAAATCACAGCATGTCAGGACCGCTCCATCATCTTCCAGGGCTGCGCCCAATTGCAGAATGTAGTCTTTGCCACAAACAAAAAGGTAGCTACCGGTTGCAAACACGGGAATGTTGCATTGTCCTTCATGGTCCAATCCGCAAGCAACAGCACTCCCATCACTTCGCAGAAGTACTGAATGATATCCTCCTGCGGAAACTTGAGTGTAGCACGTTCCCTCCTCCAAAAGCGGAATGTCGCATTGTCCATCATCATTCATGCCGCAAGCAAAAGCGCTCCCATCACTTCGCAGAAGCACTGAATAAGCAATTCCTGCAGAAACTTGAGTGTAGCACATTCCCTCCTGCAAAGGAGGAATGTCGCATTGTCCTTCATCGTTCGATCCGCAACCAACAGCACTCCCATCACTTCGAAGAAGCACTGAATGTTCATATCCTGCAGAAACCTGCGTGTAGCACATTCCTTCCTCCAAAGGTGGAAGGTTGCATTGTCCATCATGGTTTAATCCGCAAGCAACGGCGCTCCCATCACTTCGCAGAAGCACTGAATGAGCAAATCCTGCAGAAACTTGGGTGTAGCGCATTCCATCTTCCAAAAGTGGAATGTCGCATTGTGCATGATCGTTCATTCCACAAGCAACAGCGCTCCCATCACTTCGTAAAAGCACTGAATGACTAGCTCCTGCAGAAATTTGGGTGTAGCACATACCATCCTCCAAAGGTGGAATGTTGCATCGTCCATCATCGTTCATGCCGCAAGGAACAGCACTCCCATCACTTCGCAGAAGCACTGAATGATCATATCCTGCGGAAACTTGCGTGTAGCACGTTCCTTCCTCCAAATGTGGAATGCTGCATTGTCCAACAGCGTTCATTCCGCAAGCAACAGCACTCCCATCGCTTCGCAGAAGCACTGAATGACCATGTCCTGCAGAACACATTGTGACAGACTGGAGAGGAGAAATCCCTTTTGGACTGCAGTTTGGGCCAAAAGCTATATTTTTTTGTGGCCTTCGTTCTCCTGCTGGTGTTGTAATTGATTGGTTCCAACGACGTGTGGACACTTTCCCATGCAATATGCCCAACTCAGACCTTCATGGTGCAGGAAACCGATGACCCGGCCACCATACCAATTTGGGACTGGATTCGATCCAAAAGGATCTAAGTAAGTCATTGCGCTTATATATATATATATACAATATATGGATATATATATATATGGTTGTTCCGCAGTAAAACTGTTGGTTTCGAAAAGGCCACAATGACCCATGAAGACATTGGTGGATCAATCCTAAGTGTGTTCATGGAAGAGGCCCCCTCGGTGAATGGATGTGATCCAAATGGAATCGTTGCAATTCAAACAGGTTCCGTCCCTGCAGCACTGGTTCTGTCAAGGAATCCACTTGACGTGACTTGACGTGGCTCTTAGAACCCTTTTAAGAGAGATTGGACTGGACTCTTGTGCTACAAGGTGTTCAATCGTTTCTATTTGGTTTGGTTTGGCCAAAGCTGACTTGGCTGCTTCAGTCACGGCCACAGCTGGCTAGTTTATGGCAAGTTGACCCCCATGATCCACGACCATTGGTCAGGAGTCTTGTCCGAGTCGCCACGCCTTTCCCGAGCCATCGGCATCCAAGTCGGTCCAAGCATGCTTGATGTTGCCGCGATAGTTCATGCGACGACACCTGGGGATCCCCCGTGAACTTTTGAGGTGAAGGACGGGGAAGGATGGGGAAATGGGGAAGGATGATGAATGGGGTGATTGAATGATGGTGAATGGGTATATATATATATATATCATCCCCCACTGGTTGACATTTCCAGTTTTGAACGCTTTCAACGCAGGAACCCTGGCCGTGTCTTCGCAACATGTGGTGTTTGTTTTCTGCGGCGTTGTGGAGTTTCGAGGTGCCAGGCTCCAAGCGCCTGGAAAAGATACACCAGAAACCACCAAACAACATCAAACCATGTCTCTTTCAGAACATGTTCAACATGTTCTTCTCTTCGGCAATTCATGTTCTTCCCCCTCTGAAGACCTTTCGGGGCTTACAGACTCACGGGGCTTCCGTGCCCAAAGGTCCCAAAGGTCCTTCCCTTCAGAACTCGAGAGATCCGATCCTTTTCAAAGGCTGTTTTCGGACGAAAGGCTGTTGGGTTTCCCTTCCAACAACAATGATGCACTCATGTTTGGATGTGAAATCCATTGTTTACCCTAGTTTTTTTCTTCCGTTTTGGGGTGAAATCGATGTGAAATCTGTTCAGTGTCCCTTCTTCGTTGACCATGTGTTCACCAACGTTCGATAGATGGTCAGACCTTCCTAATTCAGGAGGAACCTGGAAAACGCCCCGTGCTCTGGTCGACCAACGCGTTGCTTCGAGCTCTGTTCGACGGACGCGCAGGTGGGTTGCCAATGTTCGAACACCTGTCTGCTGAGTCTGCTGGATGCCGCGAAAAGAAAAGAAAGAGAGAACTCCCAGTTGATTTAGAAAAGGAACCAACATGAGCCAGCAATACCAGAGTTCTTAACTAGCACCAAGTACATTCGAATATTGCAAAAAATAAGAAGACGCCGATTGTTACTGCTGAACAATTTCCAACAGCCCACAGTTCACGCCGACACAGAAAAGCTTTCGACGCGGCAAAGCACCCTGTAATTCAAGTGGAACTGCAGGACGCACCACACACATCAATCATACGGTACGCAACACCTCTCAGCATGCTACCGAGTCGGCTGAGTCCCCTGGCGCATCGCAGAACTCGGCAAAGCTAATATAGCCATGGCCGGAACCTCAGATAGTGAGGTTGTTCCAGACCGCGCGTTCTAACGTGAAAATGAGGGTGTGCGCATCGAGGTGTGCAATCTGGGAAACGTCTTCCTGCAGGACGTCCCTCTTTAAGGGTATTCACGAAGGGGAAGACCAGAAGTTCGATGAAGTTCATAACAAATGTCTTAGGCAAAGCCAGAATCTCATCTTAACACACTTGCGGACATAAATAATAGGGGCCAACCTTGTATCAGTTTCAGTTTCGGGTGAGACAATGGTAACCGTAGGGGCCCACCCAACTGCAGGTTTTGTCAACCCAACCATGGGATTTTGTCAATCCCCTATGCATATGTCCATATATGTCCCTATTATTATTCTTCTAATTATAAGGACATATATGGACATATGTTATATAATTAATATATATATATATATTGAGTCTATATAGTATTAGAATACATAGTAGACATGATCAGCGCCGACTGGAGGACTGGAGGGGAAGCACCCAAGAGATGTGGGCTGCAGGTGGTTCGTTGCAGGAAATTCAGGAGATTCATAAGATTTCAAGACATTCACCCACACAAAATTCCATCAGGTTTTGGATGGATCATCACAAAATTCAAAAACTGGACAGGCTTTCGGCAGCAAAACCATGGCGATATGCACTCAACCCGCATCCATGAAAGATAGGGGCTCGCTTCGTTCGCGTGGCCGGCTGGCCGGCTGGGCCGTCCCGGACCGACAGGCGAGACGCGAACCCGGCGAAGTTGGTTCGTCCACGAGTCCGCAAAAGACGGAGAAGTCCCTGTGAAAGATCAACGAAAGATCATGTCGAGTACGAGTACAAGAAGCTCAAGTTGAGCACCCCGGCGGGACTAGACCCAAATCTTCAAACGACGTATATAGATGAATGGACATCTCCGAAAGTTTCTCATATGGTTCATGTCATTTCGCAGGTTCCTGTCATGGCGGATCCACAGGTTCTTCTTCATGATTTCACCACTGAGCATGCCGGACAATCGAGGATTCGGCGCCAGGCTGCAGCATAGCTACCTCCATCAGAAAGGTCAGTCTGTTCCATCATGTCTAGTTGAGGTTAGAGGAAATCTTCACAAACCCTCAGGATGTAAACCATTGGCAGCATTGTCTAGCCTAGTGAAAGAATCTTTGGATGAAATCTGTTTTGATTTATGCAGTCCTGAAACTGAAGCTGCTCATTATAAGATTTGCCTCAGTCGTGGGCACGAACAAGCCAACGAGAAACTGCTTCAGAAACAAGCCTAGTGTATCCGCATCCGAGATTTCGGGGCATTCGGATTTGATTTCAGCCCAAAAGCCAATCGGATACCTCATCCAGGAGTTCCACACAGCGAGCCAAAAAGGAAGAATCACCATGTCAACGAGGTCTGGTCACCACTATTTAACCACACAAGGCCCTACAAGGCTCATACCGGTTCATCTCTCCTTTTACAAGTTTAAACCAGCCAGACACAGCGTCGTGACAGCTCCATCCCAGCCAAACGAAGTGGCATTTCCCTGTAAAAACCACACCACCGTGCTAGCCAGCCCGGTCGTTCCAGTTTGGTTTTGGCACCATGCTCAGCCGGAGCTCAGCCATGCTCTCCCCCCCAGACCTTCTCTCCGCAAGAGTTCGGTCCGAAAGCGGCTCAGGGCAGCTTCATCCCGACCTGCGTGGCGGCTTCGCCGGGTGAGTCGTCTGCCACGCTTCCCCGAGAAAAGCCGTCTCCGCCGTCTCCGGCCCCTGGGCCCGGCGCACAAAGGGTCCATTGGGGGACTTGTCCGGAGTGCCCGTGGGTAGTCGAGGAGGTAGACCAATGAGGCCGGGGACGCTTCAGGAAAGTCCAAAAACACAACCCTTGACCAAAACTTCTTTCAGCGGGTTCTTCTAGCACCAAACGGAGCATCATCGAGTCATCCAAAATCCAACTGCGGTCCCAAATGTTTGCACCAATGCCTCGTGGTGTAGCGCTGCGTGGTGTGCGGGGCCTCAGCCCAGACCATGGAATGGTCATGAGTCATGAGTTATAAGGCAAAGCTGTCACCATCCAAATATACTTATAGATACTTAATTATAGTCTATAGACCTGCATCTACAAGTCACACCTTTGTTCATTGATCCCTTGAACTTCACCCAGCTAGATCACTCCTTTCTAAGCCTCATCACTGATCGCTGTGGCCTAATGCTCCGTTCCACACCGAACGCGGCCCACGACAGCTGGGTGTTCCCCCACGAGGCGACGCGCCTCTCGGCCTCAGCAAGGCACATGCCTGCTTGATGAGCAGAACCGCCTCTGGAAATGGGATGTGGGTGATATTGTTGCACCCGCCACGTACCTGCTTGATAGGAATTTGAACTTGGGACAAATCTGCGCCCGACAGGCCGCAACCTGAGACCGATCTTGCCCGGCAAACCGCCGGTTTGCAAACGATCAAAACCGTTGGTAGATATGACGGTGGCTGGCCACACCCCGAAAACGGGTACCCTCACGTCGGCTTGTTGGGCCCTAAAGATCCGTCTAGCCCGGACAAATACATGAGAACGCACATGTGAGAGCACAGACATGAGAGCAGGCATATTTCTGTGAGCAAAGACATTTGACATCTTTTGACGAATTAGTATGATTATGACTCATAACTATAAAGTGATCCTGGTAGGACTCAAACCTACAATCCCGCTGATGCCTAATCCATGGGGCCACAGGACCTCCTATCAGGTGGCTCAGCTCTGGTCAGAGATGCGACAGCTGTGTTTTGAAGCTGGCAGCTCTACGTGGCAGGCGCAGGAAATCGGAGCTGGTATACTACGATGTGCAGATTTTGTGTCAGGCGCAGCGCTTTGAGCGAATTGGCCACCGGCCCCAATGAGCAGCCTCCAACTTCAACCCAGCTTTAAGACCTTGTGGTGCGTAAACCTGCCACACAATTTGTAAATACTCAAAAAATGTGCTTTGGACACACAATCTTCCTTAGTCTTCTGCCCAAAAGCACTGGAGCTGCGACCGGAGCTGCGACCAACACTCCGGGGCTCCAACCGACTCTGCTTTGGAACCTGGCACAGTTGACTGCCCACTTGCTCTGCGGCGACAGAGTCTGGACAGGATCTGCAAAGGATCCGGGCTTGGACAGGATCCGGACAGGATC